GTGGAGGAGTTTTTGACCTTGGCGAACTGTAATTCTTAGAAGTGTAACCCTAACAAGTGTAAAGAACTTGTTATCAAAAAGAAAGGGAGCTCCAAATCCTATCCTGTTTAACATGCCACTCTTGAATTATTAGGTTTGACCTTTCAGAATGACTGTAACTTCGCTGCACATGCAAAAGCTAAACTGTGCAAGGCCAAAATATGTCTACATGTACTAAGAGTATGTAGAAAAGGGCGTTACAGCCAGATAGAAATTGATTGCCTTTTCTATAGCATCGTACTCCCTAACTTAGCTTCAGGGTTATCTTTTCATGGTGCCTCCCACACGGATCTTAGTGTTTTCCAGCAATTTTTAAACCGTTGCCATAAATTACCTTTTATATCAGTGTCGTTAAAAATTAGACGACTGTATACTGCATAAACAGGAGAAAGAGATTTTAGGAAAAGTTAAACATTGTGATAACCACCCCCTGAAGGTCTACTTTCCACAAGAGAAGATTGATTTAAAGTTCAAGTTTATGGTAACATAAACTGATGTTAATAAACCTGAGATTATGCCCTATGAAAGCACACAGGGTGACCTACTAACAACAATCATGTCTCTGTTCTCTTGTCATACAATGTTCAACATTCCAATTAGCTTTTGTACTAAGTAACTGTAGATACTAGTTCAAAGTACAAGAAAGAAACAATGAACAGTGACTAGTTGTTCGATTACAATGCAGCCTTCTCCTCTGGCAAAGTCCTCTGTAACTTAGCACGATATATTTTCTAGACTCCACAAAGGTTCGATTTTTATTATCACATGCTCATCATGGACATTTGCTCCTCTTTATGCAGTCAGTTTTCTTAGGGCTTCGGTTCATTTAGAACAGCGTTTTTCTGTCCCGACCGCCTTTTTTTCTGCCTGGAACCTTTGCTTAGCTCTTTAATTTACATGTTGTACTCCTTATGGTCACAATATGTTTAGGCCAACCAGAATGTACACCAAGCAGAACGTTATTTTATTCCTCTACATCTTGATGTATCTACAGTGGAACCCCGATACAACGATCCTCGATATAGCGATATCCCCGTTATAACAATAGATATGCTATGTCCCGGCAAAAGTTACAGTAAAATGTATGGGACAGAACCCCGATATAACGATCTTCGATATAACGATTTTCCCGATATAACGATGAGTTTTTAGCGCATCTTCCCCGAATATAACGATATTACAGTATCAGGACACAGATACAGTCGCGCATGCTAGCTCTCAAAGGGACAAGTCAGACTCTGATGATGATATATCAGTGATTGAACCTACGCCCCTAGGCCTGACTACTGTGCAAGCTACTGAAGCTGTCAAAGCAATTCGAGATTTTATTATTACGTTGGATGATTCAGGCGAACGAGAGAGAGAATTCCTTTCCTCTCTTTCAGCGATGGAGGACGCGTTTTCAAGATTGCAAATAAAACAAATAAGGCAAACCAAACTTGAAGAGTACTTTAACTAATGAGCGAACAGCGAAAAGTAAAGACGATTACAGTCGCAACTTCTAATGTTTAAGTTTTGTTTTGTTTCCCTTTTACGGTTCGTACCGCAGACTTTGTTGTGCAACCTTGATAACGTCTTAATGCTTTGCAAATTGTTTAAGGACATTGCTGCGTGCTTGAAACGCTACATTTGTGAGTCATTTGATACTCATTACAAGTTTAATTAAACAATATGTAGTAAAAAAAGTACATGTTAATTTACCCCGATATAACGATATTTTCGGTTATTTTACGACAATATCGTTATATCGGGAGTCTCGATATAACGATACCTCGATATAACGATCTAATTCCACTACTCCCTTAGCATATCGTTATATCGGGGTTCCACTGTATACAATTAATCATTTATATCATGGTATTATATCGGACTAGGTCGCATTCCTTCATTAGTTCCTGGGCTGTGGAACTACTGTCTTTCTTTCCAATAAAAGTAGTTGCAAGGAAGTGCAACCCCTGGCTGCATTTTACCCCACAGTAAGGCTTAACCCTTGGAGACAGGTCCGGAAAAATATCCCCTCCAGTGTGTGGACCCCCGGTCCCACCTGATCGGTGACTCCACCCAGGAGGGCCACCCCTCCTGGTTCCCTTAGTTCCCAGTGACTGAAGGATATGGGCCTCACCCACGGTACCACTCGATCTTGTCTCTCCCCCAGAGGGGATTCTCTCCTGGTCCCCTTACCCCTAGAGTTAAGTGCTTCCCTGCCACCAGTTTTTTTCCCATTACTTTTGTGTGTTTTCTGTGTATATCTGGCATAGAACCTTTATACGAAACCACTGCCAATTGGAAGAGTTTATCAAATACGACCTGAGACGCTAAGGCTGCCTTAGGCCCAAGATAAATACCGAACGTTTTAAGAATATGTTTGTAAATAGATCAGTTTAACTTTTTCTAATAATAATAGTGATAATAATTTTGTGATAAAAGTTGACGCTAAAACGTCTCGACGTTTCGAAAAATCCAGGTAATTTTCAAATGAGAGTAAAATATAAAATTAGCATAAATAAATGTATTACAAACAGTTAAGAATAATTTAAACAGATAAGAATACATTGAACAATAATTTAACTGCGATAAAATATGTCTACGATAAATGATTTAAAATATTTTTACGACTTATAAGTATGTGTAATCAAATGGTGACGAGTGAAATTAGGGAATAATTTCACTTGCGTTTTGTCCAAATCGTTATAATTTCCCGAGCCTTTAGGCGAGGGAAATTATTAGGATTTGGACAAAACGCAGGTGAAATTATTCCCTAATTTCACGAGTATACCATTTGATTACCTATTAATATCATGGGTGACGAATTACGTTAGCAATCTTGGATTTTTGACATGTTTATCCTGGATCGTATCGATCGAGAACTCCTGCACTCTCTCGAACGTTTAGCGCTTAAATTTGGCTGAAGTTGCGCGGACGGAATTTCACTGTTTGTTCACAGTATTAATGATAATAATAATAACAAAAAAAAAATAGTGCCAGCTGTCAGGCTATTAACATTCTACTTACGAACGGCAGAAAATTTGTTTTGTAGCTGAACGTATTTCACGAAGTCTCCAGGAATATAGAAAGGGATTGAAAGATGCGTTAAGAGAGATCATAATTCTTGCGATGTAAAGAACTGTAATCGATACCCCGTTATTAAAATAGACATAAAGGAAAGGCCAGCTACAAATAAGAAGGAATATGAACACAAGAAAAGTGTTGAAGGCTGACTTCTTAAGTCTTCTTATGATAAAAGTGTCGGCCCTTTGCTCAGGTTGTTGTTGTTGAATTCGAATCTGATGATGTCGCACAATGAGGTGGATATTGAAATAAATGGCGAAGTTTGCAATTATTACAACACAAATTTTTATGGCCATAAATCTGCCAAAGGTTCCCACTTGCCAGACATAAATTGGCACCAGAAATCCCTGAAACAACCAAATACATGTTAAAACTACGATTACACGATACTTAGTTACTATGGCAGCGTATCTCAAGTGTAAGCGGAGAGCAAGTAGTCGGTCCAACGCAACTGCTGTACTGGTCCCAAGAGAAACTCCACACCAAACGATGGCCGAACAGTTGAAGCTTGAACACAAAAGACGAAAGGTTTCCGGTGGTAAATAATGGTTATATCCCGCAGAGAGTACAATCGACAAAAGTAAGGGCTGTACAATGAAGCCAAAAGTAAAATCGGAAAAGGCAAGGCCTGCCAATAAAATATAAGCTGGCGTACTTATGGAAGGAGTCTTAAAGATTGTAATCAAAATCGCCGCATTTCCAAGTAAAGTCATTACACAGAGGGGAATGTTGACCAAGGAAATTGTCATCGCACGGAAGGCGTTTTCCTCAAAATATTTTCTCTGTCGAATACATCCATCGCCAAGGGTAAAATTACTCTCCATCGAAAAATTTGTTTCCAAGCTGTAAAACACAAACTGTTCTCTTTTTTTTTCAGCAAGAGATCATGGCCACACCTTTTTACAATAGATTAAAATAAGGTTTTTAATCAAACGGAACTTTTAAAACATCATTCATTTGAAATGTCATTATTCTTTGTTTATGAACCTCTTGACATCAGATTTTAATAGGGGCCCTGCATGCATACTGCATCGGGTGTTTTTTTAGCTTTTTAGAGATTTCTATTTGATTAGTCAACATATTGGCATAAAGAAAAACGGAAATGGCATTTAATTTTGCCACTGACATTCACTACTCGGTAGAATCTGTAAGAATCAAGAACTAGTAAGCTAGACGTGAGGTTGAGCTTGAAACTGATAAAAAGAAATTTTAAATATTTAGTTCCGTATATTACATGTACAGCGGCAAACAGAAATCTATATAATAACAAAACATAACTGTTATCCTGGTAAAGCATTAATACGGTTCACGCTGATATCTAAAAAACTGAACAGCAATAACCTTTAGGCTGATGATTAGACAAATGATTGAACTGGAAACATTTCAGTCTGTTGACAAAATCAGCGTTTCAATTTCCGGATTTTTCTCGTATGGCAACAAGACAGAATTCTCAAGTTCACTTTAACCTGGTCGTCCACTCCAAATTTTTGTTATTTTATCTTACTCTTTTACAAGTTCTTTATCTGTCATTTTTCAAAATTACAACACTTCATAAATAATCTAAAGTGTTACTCCTACCTAACGTCAAGAAAAGATAGCGACCTTGAAACTCTTCCTGGAACGTAAGGCGCGTGAAATTATGGGAAGGAGAGTCCTTGTGCAAACTGACATAACGATTTATATGTAAATCAGGAGCCATACTTCATCATGGCTCCTAAAGCAAATCTTTGTAAATTGAAATGGCGCTCACAAAAGTTCCCAAGTACAGTCTCGACGTGGTACTCGGGCATGAAACCGTTTCCGAATTCATGGCGCGAAGTCTTTTGAATAGTAGCGTTTTCGCTGCCGTCGCCGTTGTCGTCGCTAAGTTTTAGTAATAGTGCGCGACGCTTTTAAGCAGAGTCCATAACGTAACTTGCCGGGTCGCACAGGATAGCCTTGAATTCTCGTGAAAACTGCTGGATAGTTTCATAACAGAGAGACAGTTCCAGGAGATTACTGCAGGTAGGAGCTATCGGTCGCCTGAAAATTCCCTCCAACCTGTTAAACATTAAACGAATTGGCTGTTGTGGAAAGATGTCTTGGCCGGTTACGAATCGCAAAAACAATGACAGCTCATTTTCTCTAAGGCCTCGAATAAAATCTCTAAAGTAGTAAAAGATTGCGTCTTCTTGTGGGCGTAAATCCTCGTTAGCTTCAAGGAGACCAAGGACGCTTGCCTAGTCCCTAGGCCTCATTATTATGCGCGGCCGATGCGTTTCGGGTCACGTGGTCCGAGAAAGTTTTTGAGGCGTCTCCCGGCCGTTCGTCTCGGATACGTCACCGAAATGCATTGACCGAGAGGGCCTGGAAAGACGCCGTACAGGGACTAGGTAACACGGACGCCACTGTTTGTCGGTAAAAGAGCTTTATACAGGTCGTTTATCTCCGTATAAGACAGTGTTTCCCAGAATGCCTGCATGTGTTTCTTGGAAATACCACTTTTCATAAGCGTGTACAAGTCGATGGCTTTATGCAGAGCTCTTGTCGCGCAAGATAAACCACCATACGGGAGATGTTATCTTCCCGTATGACACTGACGCCCATACCGAACAGCCCAAAGATGTACTTCACTTCCTCTTTATCGCTGTTAGTAAGAGACTGATAGTCTTTCACAGCCCTTTCCAGCAATTGCCGTTCACTTTTGGTAATGAAATTCATAAAATCATTCACTAGGCATTCTTCGTTTGCTTCTAATGGAGAGTGAAGGAGAGTGAGCAAAGTGCTCCTACAAAAACGTACAGGTATGGTTTGGAGAAGTGCCGTCGAGTGAGACAAAATTCTATCCAGGAGAGGGTAAATTCGATTCGCTTCATGTAGCCTTGCTACTGGCAGGAAAGGAACAAACACATTTTCCCCTGTGAAATAGGTCTTGAATGCTTATTCCCAAAACATAGAAAACATATCCTTCAGCAGATCTAGACCACTGACATCTATTCCGTCCTCCCTAACGAAGCAAGCTTGTAGGTGATCCTCCACCACGTCTTCGCTTTCTTTGTATACCTAGAGTACTTCCTCCAGGATGCTGCCTCGAGTAACTTTAATATCCCGAATGTTTGGATTTAAACAAGACGAGAGAGCATCATATGCTACCAAGAGAAAGAAAATCACTTTAATAATTATGATTGTCGTAAATATTACTTTGATCACGCCGGTGCATGATTCAGTGCTTTCTATATTCTGTAAACGGTGCGCGAGTTTTAGTAAAATGGATGACAATACGACAATGTTCTCTTTCGCCTCGACGTGCACCATGGTCAATAAATTTATTCAGTAGTGCATAGTTTTTCCTCCATGAATGAAGAAATGCAGAAGTAAGTACGCAGTGGATGACATCGCAGATCGCAACATGGTGGCATTTAATCGCTGTCGAAACCTCCTTCCCCGCTAATACCGAAGGCACAAAGCAAAATAATCAGAAGTTAGGTGACAATGTGAAATAATCAACGGTGTTTGTACATTTTGAATTGAAAGAAGGACGTAACAGGAACTAAACGTGAGCTCATTCCCTTACAAGTCATCAGTGTCCCAAAAACTTAACAAAATGATGTCAAGGTCCAAACAAAAGAGTCAAAAAACAATTCGAGTACAGGAAACTGATAAGGTAATCTTCCATCAAAAATAAACAGTAAAACACGAATAAAATAAGCACAACTGCCTCAAACAACCCACCTCCTCTGCTTCCCTTGGGTCATCTTGAACTGTGTCATCTAATTTTACGTCCATTCGGGCCAGCTCGTGAAGTCCCCCTAGAGATATCTGGGGCGCAAGAAACAGTGAAGAAAAAACTTTGAAAACCCCCAAAACTACAATTTCTTGTCTATTCTCTAATTCGCCTGAGTTATGAATAAGCGAGAGAACGTCCTTCACATGTATGCCAATTGTGTGCTAGCTAACCCTCCTTTTAGATCTTTTAAGTGTTCACCTTTGAATTTTCAGGGGCCTTGAATTTGGAACCTATTGCGCTTTGGCAGCTTTACTATGTTATTGTTTATTCTTAGCTCATTAGTACCTTTTGATTTAAACTTCTATATGTAACGTATAGTATAGTATCTATAATTTACTGATTTCTATGCTGTGTAATTTGTATTTTTTAAAAATTAGCTACTTACCCTTTGTCTACTATTATCCTTTGTTTTCTGTTCAACTTGTTATGTAACCTTGGCATATTCAGTGTTATTTTAGTATTGTACCGAGTATATGAGTCTTGTTTGAAGTATTATTATTTGTAACTGATAAACGTCTTTTGACCAAAACGTTTTATTTAGTAAATTTTAGTTTTTTATCTCTTTTTATCATCCAAACGTTGTCCACTTTTGGTCTTCTTTAACTTTTTTTTATCATAATCGTACACCAAAGTAGTGTGGACACCGAAGCTTGAACGTGACCTGCCGGATGTCTAATAACGTATGGTTTGAGAAGCGCAATAATGTTTGAACCATGTTATAGAAAACAGCCATTTCGATAAATGAGTTTGTCAAATGGCCTGCAAGGAAAAGCACGAAGCTCCTTTTTCACGAAAATTTATATGTGTAAAAAAACGGGATTTTTACATCAAAAGGCAGCTTTCTTACAAATATATATTTTGTAAGAAACAGCTCTTTTAAATAAAAAAGCAGAATTCTTGCATAAGAAAGCAGCTTTTTTACAGATATATATTTCTGTAAAAAGCAGATTTTTTACCCTTATTTAGTTGTAAAAAAGTAGGATTTTTACATAAAAAGCAGCTTTTTTACAAGAACATATTTTTGTAAAAAAGCAGTTTACAACCGCATACTATGATTTGTAAAAAAGCAGCTTTTTTACATAACAATGACGCTTTTTTACGTGGACTGTTTTTTTTAATGCCTCCTAAAACCAAATTATTTTTGCTCTTCTAGCAGTTGAAGGACCAAAAACTGACGATCAAGTAGTGTTTGGATGTTCGGCCCCAGATTGCAATTTCCACTGTCAGCCACAGCTGGCATAAATCTCTTACAATTTCCTTTCAAATTTACACCAGAAATACGAACATCTGTGGCCCTATAACTTTGTTACCCTTTGTTTTAAAGTCTCTATTCTAAACATTTATCTCTGCACCATCTCATTATATTGCCCATATTTTACTTTCCTTTCAGTCAAGACTGGGGGTTGTCATTTTTTTCTTTTGGTCAAGGAGGGAGACGGGGGCGTGTCAAAATATTCTGTATGATGAGAGGGATATGAAAAAAAAAATTACCCCATAAGAAATATCCTCTACCCCCTTGCAGTTTACATAATGAATGTAGCCTACGTTCAAGTTAAATAAGCATGATCAGGAGTCAACCCGATTGATAGCCATTTGGTAAACAGATCAGTGAATGTATTCCTTTGAAACTGTAGTAACATTCTTGCGCATTTTATTTATGAGTCCAAGTTACATACATAACCTTTATTTCACCTCAAAGTTTACAGTAGCTTTAATTCCTACAATTGCTTATACATTCGAACCTCTCTAATACGGGCACTGAAGGGACAGAGCGAAGT